TTTTTTATTTTTAAGGGTGTTTCTATGACTCTTTATGTACTGATAGTAATGGGTTATTTGCCGGTATTTTTGCTAAAATTTTGTGTGTGCGTTAGCTTTGGATGCTGGTTAATAAACAATTTTATAAAGAGTTTCGAAATTTTTGTAGATTGGAGGGATAGTGATTATACAGGGTTACTTGACCTTAATCTGGAGAAAGGGACTTCTATAGACAGGGTTACCACAACTGCTGTTTTTAGTATCAAGGAGGGAGCGAACTCACAAGAGAACGAGCAACTTTGTGTGAATACGGTCTTAAAAGACTGGATGATGCTAGCTAGAGTTTCTAGAGGTCATTTAGAATTTGAAAAAAACCTCGAAGTATCAAGAGGGTTAACTACTAAGTACATAGTGCTATGTAGACTTTTTTTGTGTTATTGGTTACTACAAGTCATATGAAAAATATTACCAGGATTGTCCTAAGTACAACTAAACAAAATACAGGTTTAAAATTCGGATTGATAAAGCCTAAGTTTAGAGCCCTTTACGCAGAAAGAGCTAGCGAATCGAATGTTAATGTCCAACACCCTCTCATCTGCTATCAAGATAAATATTTAAATAAGTATCATGTTATACAACAAATGACTCACTCTAACTCTATAAAGCACTTAAGGGTTGATAGTTTGTCCTATCAACTAGATTTAGCCCTTAAAAATTTACCACAATATGGAGTAACTCCAACAAAACCCCTTTATATAAAAAGCAGTCATTTTGAGATATGGGAAAAAAATGGGCGCTTTTATGAGGATATCTATGGGCAAGACATAGTCTTAATAACTTATTTTAGAAACAAGACACTTTTAGATAAGCCAAGACTATTGATAGCAAAAAATATGCTTTTAGAGTATGAAGGTCATTTTAGTAAGCCTATCCAATCATGCTTTGATTTGGAGGGTTTAGAGAATAAAGATTGCTCTGATATTGACTAATAATTGACTTTCTTGTGATATAACCTCTCTCTAGTAAAAGATCTAAGAGTCTAAAGGGCCCATATTAGATTATAAATTTAAACCATATGGACAAACAACCGTTTTTAGCAAAGACTTATTAATAATTGAGAAGCAGTATTTAAAGGAAGATACGAGCAAAACTAGGTACCTTTTAAAACAACAGGCTAGGTTATGTCAACAAATTGACAAGAATAGCCCTGAATTGTTGTTTTCAGCAATTCAGGAATATTCTTCTATAGATTTAATGAATTTAGGTGAAATTAAAATAGCCTTAAATAAAATAAAATAACAAGAGTGATAGAGATAAATTAAAACCATAGGAGTTAAAATAATAACTATCTGATTTCAGATATACTTCTAATACTAGTTAAATCTCTAAAGAATAACTATATAATAACAAAGCACACTAAACAAACCTTACTCAATTAGAACAAAAATTTTCCGGACAAAGAACAAAAACAAATGCAAAAACAAGAAAAACATTTAATAATTTTTTATTATTTTGTTGATGTTCCTCACCCATTTGTGAGAGGTGTTCTGTTTGCCGGGTTTACTTCATTGATTCCCATCGTTCTCTATTTTCCTTTCCATTGGGTATCTGGGTATTGTGTTACTTCCCCTATTTTACTGGTCTGAGTGATGTTTATAACGCTTTGCCCAATTCTAGTAGGTTGCTGTATCTAAACAGCTTATTGGTAAATTGTTATAGAATTTACATATGTTTTCCAATATTCACCTCTGCTCATTGGTGGTTAAACGTTGTCCGCTTCTGTGCCGAAGTTACTTGTGGGTACTCCATCTGTTTTCTTGTGGTTTTATTTTGTTGTCTCAAGTAATTGTTTTTTTCTTTCTCTCTGACATCTTGTTTAGATACTCTCCTATACTCTGGTAGTGTTTACTGTACGAGTGGGTATTATATTACACTGAATACTCTTAATGTTGTGTATTGTGGAAGTATTCTATTGCCTGAGTGGTTTATGGTTAAGCATGTGCTTATGGGTTAGGTTCGTATAATTTATCTTATGTATATAATTTATATGGATATATAACAGTTTTTATGTAGTTGTTTTGTGCTTGTTTTGTATGTTCTTGATATTATAATTTAACGTTTAGATTTGGTTCTTCCAGTGTAATGGTTGTGATTATTTTGTTTTGTGCGTGTATGTTCTAAGAGTTTTTTGGTTTGTTTGTTGGTGTTTTTTTATTGAATAACGTTTTATTTTTGGACATTTTCTTGTTTTTTTTTTATTAGTTGCATGATTAGCTCAGTTGGTAGAGCATTTCGTTTACACCGAACGGGTCACGGGTTCGAGTCCTGTATTGTGCATCCTTAGGTTAATTTCTAATGGGGTCTTATGCTCATGTGTTTTTTGTGGGTTTTATTTTGTTTTTTTTTTAATATGTGTTCTTATTTGTGTTGTTTGTAGTGTTAACTGGCTGTCTTCTTTGTTCTTAGTATAGTTTATGTTAGAAAGTGCAAAAGTTATAGGTGCTGGATTAGCTACAATAGGATTAATTGGTTCAGGGATTGGAGTAGGGTTAGTGTTTGCAGCTTTAATTTCAGCTACTGCAAGAAATCCTTCATATAGACAAGAATTATTCTCATTTGCGATTTTAGGGTTTGCATTAACTGAGGCTCTAGCTTTATTCGCATTGATGGTTGCGTTCTTAATTCTATACGCTTTCTAAGAACAGAGGCTTACTTGGGAGGGTACTAATAAAATACTTAGTGGTGTCTGGGTTTTTTCTGGTATCAGTGGTGTGTCTTTTATTATACAATGATGATGTAGGTTCTCTTGTGGATTCATTGGGATACATTAGTAATTCCCGTTTAATGGAAAATGAGTTGGGTGCTCCTATAGTGGGTTGTATTGATCATGATGATTGGTGGAGGCCCGAGTTTTATCCATCATGGTTTGTCGCTCCGAATTATGGTTTTCTATATTCAAATTTTTTGTTTTGTCCTCCATTTACATTTAAGTTTGAATTTGGTTTTGAGGGTGGTAGGCATATATTGTTTTTTGTAGTGTATTTAATTGGGATATATTCAAATTTTACATAAACAAGACTACTCGGATTCGAACCCAGAACGAAGGCTTTGGAGGCCTCTATTTTACCATTAAACTATAGTCTTTAGCTATGGACTTAGGTAGAATCGAACTACCGACTTTACACTTATCAGGTGTATACTCTAACCACTGAGTTATAAGTCCTATTTTAATAAAACACTCTTAGCTCAACTGGATAGAGCAATAGCCTTCTAAGTTATAGGTCACAGGTTCGAGTCCTGTAGAGTGTGTTATGCCTGAGAAGATTCGAACTTCTAACCTTTAGATTCGTATTCTAACGCTCTATCCAGTTAAGCTACAAGCATGGCGGGTATCGATTAATGGCTAAATCCTTTGCCTTCCAAGCAAATGCTATGGGTTCGAGTCCCATTATCCGCAGTATAATATTAATTAATAAGAGGATGTAACTTAGTCTGGTAGAGTATTAGCTTGTCACGTTAAAGGTCGTGGGTTCGAGTCCCATCATTCTCGTTTTTATATATTTTTTGTTGGAGTATTAGTACAATGGTTAGTACAATCGACTCATATTCGTTTGATCTAGGTTCGATTCCTAGATACTCCTTTTTTTTTTGTTTTTGTTCAGGTAGCTCAGTGGTAGAGCATAGGACTGAAAATCCTTGTGTCGGTAGTTCGATTCTACCTCTGGACAGTGTGTGTGTGTGTGTGTGTGTGTTAGATATGTCTGTATCCTTATCTTTTTCTAAAATGTAAAATTTTTTTGTTTTTGTTTTAGGGGCTGGTGGGGTGGATGGATGTCTGAGTGGTTTAAAGAGATAGTCTTGAAAACTATTATACAGTTTGTATCGTAGGTTCGAATCCTACTCTATCCATTTATTTTGGGCAGGATGAAGCATAATTGGCTGTGCGTAGGTTTTGGGTACCTAAGGTTGTCGGTTCGAGCCCGACCATCCTGAGTCTTGGGTTTTTTGTTTTTTTTGTTTTTGTTTGTTTAGGGCGTAGGTGCTTATCTTCGCACGTTTTTAATGTAATTTTTTGTTTGGGGTAGTATTTTGAAGCTTTTAGTGGATGTATAGGCTAATATGTTTGGACGTTGATACGATATTTCTGGTGTAGGTTTATCTGGAATACCAGAGTTTCCATGTGAAAAACTGTTTAAATAATGGGATTATACGATGTGAATTGAAACATCTTAGTAGCATCAGGTAAAGGAAATCAACCGAGACTCCGTTAGTAGTGGTGAGCGAGTGCGGACCAGGCTTAATACTTGTTTGAATCTTAGAAATTCCATAGAGGGTGAGAGTCCCGTATTAGATTTGAATTTTTTTTTTTTTTTGTTTTGGTATGAGTGAGTAAAGCGGAATGTTATTTTGCTTGAATATAGGAGGACCACCTTCTAAGCCTAAGTATACATATTAGACCGATAGTGAACTAGTACCGTGAGGGAAATATGAAAAGTACCCATGTAGATGGAAGGGGGTGAAATAGAACCTGAAACTAAAAGTGATTAAGCAGTTGTGACTTTTTTTATAGTTTCAACGTACCTTTTGCATAATGGGTCAGCAAGTTAATTTATATAGCAAGCTTAAATCGTTAGATGTAGGCCTAGTGAAAGCGAGTATTAAATTGCGTTAGTTATATAAATTAGACCCGAAACCAAGTGATCTAACTATGGACAAGTTGAAGGTTGGAGAAATCCAAAAGGAGGACTGAACCCAAATATGTTGCAAAATATTGGGATGATCTGTTGTTAGGGGTGAAAGGCTAATCAAACTTGGAAATAGCTGGTTTTCTGCGAAATATATTTAGGTATAGTGTTATACGTTAATCTTTGGGGGTAAAGCACTGCAAATTTATGGGTAACTAATGTTATACTATATTTTAGTAAACTCTGAATACCAAAGAATATTTTATAACAATCAGACTATGGGTGCTAAGGTCCATAGTCAAGAGGGGAACAGCCCAGACCACAAATTAAGGACCCAAAATAAATACTAAGTGCTATTAAGGAAGTCATATATACGAAGATATCCAGGAGGTGGGCTTGGAAGCAGCCATCCTTTAAAGAAAGCGTAACAGCTCACTGGTTGATGTAATTTGGCGCCGAAAATGTAGAGGGGCTAAGTATTTTTCCGACATTGTGGATTAAACGTGAGTTTAATGGTAGCAGAACAATCTGTATTATATGAAAATTATATTGAAAGATATAATTTTGGAATCAGATGAGAGAATGCTGACATGAGTAACGTAAATATTGTAACAATAATCATTATTGCTGAATGTCTAAGGTTTTCTAACGTGATAGTTAATAGCGTAGAGTTAGTCGGCCCCTAAGTTCTAACAAGAATGATGGGTAATTATGTATTAAAGGACGAGAATTCAAAGTATTATATTTATATATGGCTAATATTATAATATAATGTTTTCTTCAGGAAAATTTTAATATTTTAGTTTTAAACTATTTTAAGGTTAATCCTTAAAATTTAAATACCGTACTATAAACCGACACTGGTGGACAAGTAGAGTATACTGAAGTTATGAGATAATATTGTTGAAGGAACTCGGCAAAATGACTCTGTAACTTAGGGATAAGGAGGGCCTCGAAAGAGGTGGCACATAATAGGGAGGAGCGACTGTTTACTAAAAACACAATACTCTGCTAAATCTTATCAGATGAAGTATAGGGTATGACACCTGCCCGGTTCTGGAAGGCTAAATTAGTTGGTGAGAGCTAACTATATATCCCCCAGTAAACGGCGGCTGTAACCATAACGGTCCAAAGGTAGCGAAATTCCTTGACGGGTAAGTTCCGTCCTGCATGAGTGGTGTAACGACTTCTCCGCTGTCTCCAACAATAACTCAGTGAAATTGCATTCTCCGTGAAGATGCGGAGTATTAGTAGTAAGACGGAAAGACCCTATGAATCTTTACTATAACTATAAATAGTCTATTCGAACAGTTAGAGTAGCATAGATGGATTGCAAGTAATGCAGCAGTGAAATACCATCCTTACTGATCGTCTAGACTCACCATAAGGGACAATTTATAGCGGGTAGTTTGACTGGGGCGGTCACCTCCTAAAGAGTAACGGAGGTGTGCGAAGGTAGGCTCAAATAGGTCGGAAATCTATTGTAGAGTGTAATGGCATAAGCCTGCTTAACTGAAAGACAAACAAGTCAACCAGAGACGTAAGTCGGCCATAGTGATCCGATAGTACTTAGTGGAAAGGCTATCGCTCAACGGATAAAAGATACTCTAGGGATAACAGGCTGATGACTCCCAAGAGCTCATATCGACGGAGTCGTTTGGCACCTCGATGTCGGCTCATCACATCCTGGAGCTGAAGGAGGTTCCAAGGGTTTGGCTGTTCGCCAATTAAAGTGGTACGTGAGCTGGGTTTAGAACGTCGTGAGACAGTTCGGTCCCTATCTACTACTAATGTATAAAAACTTAAAGAAGCCGACCCTAGTACGAGAGGACCGGGGAGGAGATACCAATAGTGTACCAACTGTTTCTCCAGAAGCATCGTTGGGTAGCCACGTATCGAACTATTAACTGCTGAAAGCATCTAAGCAGGAAATACATCTTTAAGCTAGTTTTTAACTCAGATGTAATAGACTATTACAAATTATTAAAATAGGTTACAAGTGTAAGCACAGTAATGTGTGTAGCTAAGTAATACTAAAAACTGAATAACCCAAACATATATTCATAATACATTATTTTTAAAGGCTGGTGCGGAGGGAGTGGTCTCCCTAATAGGCTCATGATCTATCGACTTTGTCTGGGTTCGATTCCCACACTAGCCCAATTCTTCAGTAGCTTAATGGTGGAGCAAACGACTGTTAATCGTTCGGTTGATGGTTCGAATCCATCCTGAAGAGGATTATTTTGTATTAATAAAATAATTAAAATTTAAACTTGATTTTTATGAGATATAAAAATCATACTTATCATATTTTAGATAACAGTCCATGGCCTATTTTCATGGCTTTTTCATTAATGTTGAGCATGAAATCTGCTGTTCTGTTTATGCATGGATTCAATGGTGGATCTAGCACATTATTAATAGGGTTTTTATTAGTATTGTTAACATTTTTTTGTTGGTTTGTAGATGTTTCAAAAGAAAGTACATTATCTGGGTGTCATACATACTTAGTACAAAGAGGATTAAAAATTGGGTTTATTTTATTTATAGTATCTGAACTAATGTTTTTCGTAGCTTTATTTTGGGCGTTTTTTCATTCAAGCTTAGCTCCTTCAGTAGATTTAGGTGTGGTTTGGCCTCCAAAAGGAATTCAAGCATTGAACCCTTTAAGTGTTCCATTATTAAACACGATAGTACTAGTAGCATCTGGAGTTGTATTAACATGGGGACATCACGCTATTATTACAGCAAATAAACCTCATACAACTGTGTCTTTATTAATAACTATCATCTTAGCAATGTCATTCACAGGTCTTCAATTCTTAGAATACATAGACTCTACATTCAGCATAGCTGACTCTGTATATGGATCTACATTCTTTATGTGTACAGGATTTCATGGGATACATATAATAATAGGAACAATCTATTTAATAACATGCCTATACAGAACTGTATACGGATTAAACACAAACTCAAGCCATGTAGGATTCGACACTTGTGCATGGTACTACCACTTCGTGGATATAGTATGGATATTCATGTTTATAAGCGTATACTACTGGCCATACAGCCCAACACTAAACTAAATAAAATACCACCAGACTAATGAAACAATACTTTAATATTCTGCAAGGACCTATAGGCCAAAACAACAAAACATAGTACACACCAAAAGCAAATTACAGCTAAACAGCCCATAGTAAGACCTAACTAAATAAAAAAAAAACACCCTGAATTAGCACTCAACTAAAACTTAACTTTATTACACTCATAAAACACAGAAATGAACATAAAACCAAAATAAACTTAAGTACCGAAACTATACACCACTCAAATAAAATAAATAATGGTTCTAAGTAAGATCATAAACATTATTAAAAGAAAGTATAGTAACCTAAATAAAAGCTCCAGCTTAATAATTTCAAGGAAACACGCTATAACAAGGCATAATTTAAATTCTTAGAACACCATATAGAAAGGTATATTATATATAATATACCCATTGTACATACATTATAACAACAAACCATGAGAATACATCTCATAACAGGATAATAAACACAGAGCACTACTAAGCCCAGATACAGCTTAACTATACGAATAAAACAGCTGCTGATACACAAATAGAAACTATGCCAATAGTACTTAATAAAACATAACAAAAATTCTTATGTTAGCTATAGAGCTATTGTAGTAGACTAAGCAGTACATAACAGAGGAAAATCTCCATCAGGTTCAACATAAAAATAGCCCTATAGAATCTTACCACTGCCAACAGATTATAAATAATAGGTATAGACAGCCTGTTAGTCCGTACACTAACTGTACCAAACCACAAGCTACTATAATTAGATCACAGTATAAGTATACTATAACAGTAATTTATAATAAAATTACTGAAGTAACAGGAAAACATACATAACTGAATAAAAAATGTACTAAAACACCATAACAATACCTCTAGATCTAATACTAATATACCCAATAGATTAAATAAAAATTAAACCTTAAATTTTGTAAATACAAACAAGTATAAACCACAGTCAAAAATTATTTCCTATAATCAAATCTAAATTAAAAAGGCTAGAGACTACAATCAATACAACAGATACTTAAAATATAAAACTAATACATAACCAGCCCTTCTCTCAACATAGAGCCTCTAGAGGGTAATTTATACACAACTAAGATTACGATAAAACAATTAAATATAATCCCCATACTCCTATAAAGATTGTTACTTCACCATCTAAACCGTACATATTACAAACACCACAGCCTTAACTAGAATATATTAAACAAACTAGAAAAACCTACAAGTCTATAAATACTAATAAACAGCTAAAGAAAATACACACCTAAAAAGTATTAGAATAGAAGCTAAACTCTTACACCCTAGAGACCATAAATACCACCACAATAAAACAAATAATATATATTAAGATATAGAATATATATAATAACAACATAACTAATCACTACCATATAGTCTAACACACCAAAACTAAAAATTATAAGCTGAAACACAGAAACATCCAAAGCACGGAAAACACTAACACTCAGATAACACAGAGCACACAAACCTCAGTAAAAATGGAGAAGATAGCCATCAAATACACAGCTATAGAACCAGCACCTACCACACCAATATCCTATAAAAAAATCAAATATAACTTATATAGGGTGAATAAACCACACTAAATAAGGTGTACCATAAGCCCCAGAGAAACTAACCCGTCTGACAAGACCTTAGCAACCCTGACCTTAAGGATTAATAAATACATTAATTTTATATTTAGAATTTATTAGCGTTATATTTTGTATTAAAATTCTTGTATTTATTTTATGTTATTATTATTTGGTGTTTAATGAGATTTGAATATTATATATATATATGTATAATATACAATCTTAGACTAAAGCTGATGTTTATAAATTTATAATGAAAATTAAGTGTATGGCAATATTTACAGAGTTTAAAAAGGATCCTCTCTACTATACAGTGTCATTGACTCCAATTACAATCCCATTAACTATTTATATTATACAATTAATATATCTACCTTTTCATACTGCTAAAATGGTAGAGGACTTAGCATCATATTCTAAATGGAAATATATTCTTGTACTACTTATTTTAATAGGATATTTAACATATATTAAATATTTTCGTAAATACGTTTATTCTCCAGAAGAGGGGCCTGTAATATCTGCTAAGATGGCTTTAATAGTATTTTTTCATTTGGTAGGAAATAAGCATAGGGACGAATATTATAATAGATTCTTAAATTATATTGAAAAATGGCGTAAAGGTACCTATGTCATGAACTTATTTATATTTTATATAGGGGCTATACATCCAATGGTAAATCTTCTATTAATATTCTTATTTGTGATAGGGCAAATTAGCACGAGCTACATGCTAATTATTATCCCCATAAACTTTTGCCTTTGGGTTATCAGAATCTGGTATATTTCATTTGATACTTTTGTAGAAACTTATATCGGAATTTTAAAGAGTTTGATGCTTTATGATGAGGCTGAAATCAAACGAATAGCCATCAATGAGAGCAGTAAATTAATAGTAGTCAAGTTAACGAAAGAAGCTCATGAGGGTGGCGTTACTATGAACCAAGTGTCCGACCTTGTAGAAAAACTACTTATGCTCTATAAATTTAAAGGTTCACAATATTCAAACTCGTTTTTCGAGCAATTATTTTATGCTAGAGTTTTTATGTGGATATTCTTATGTTTTGTCCTGTTTACATAAAAAATGAAGGGGGACCTAATAAAGCACGTTTTTAATTTAAGAGGTGGTTTTCATTTAAAGAATGCAGTACTTAGTACTACTAGTACAAGCCTCCGAGATCAGGTCAGTGCCAGCTTAGGCCTAAGATCCTCGCACATTTTAGCAGTGTTAGAAACAAAAGAAGAAGAAAAATCCTTAATAATAGCAAATTACACTAGCACTCAACCTCTTGGAAAATCAAGCTTATTATTATCGATGAGGAACATTAATAACGATAATAAGGCTCAGCACATAGTACTCTCCAAAGAGCTAGTAAAAATAGATAATAAAGAATTAACGTTCTTATCCTCTAAAAATAATAATAAATTTTTAGAAATTAATGAGGAAAAAATTATTAATTACTTCAAGGAGCATGCATCCTCAATAATATTAGAGGATAAGGACATCCTTTTACTAATAAGTTTGTTTATATCGTATAAAAGAGGCGAACTTATTACTTCCGATCATGGCTCTGTAGCCTCATTGATTGAATTAAAAGTTTTTTTGGATAAAATTATTAATAAAGAATCAGCTTCTGCACAATATCCCCCATCTTATAATAAAGAGGATGAGGACAATATTTTTATTGATTAAAATTTATTATGATCTAACAAGAATTACTCAAAATTGTTAATATAGTTATTAATGGATAAGCCAGTACTTCTAATTTTGTAGAATCACTAAAAAACCCTATTGAAAATGGGGTTTCTTTATTTATAAAGTTTTTACAGGGTCTGGAAGAGTAGGTAAATACCTACGAATGGGTTCGAATCCTATTCTCTGATCGCTTTATAATGGGATATATGCTTATGGGTTAGGCTCCTCTTGGGTCGGCTTTGTTTATGATTAAAAAAATAAATATTAGAATGTTTTATATTGTCTTGTTTTGGTTGTTTTAATTTATAAGTTTTAGTGTTAAATCAGTAGTAGTTTAGTAATGCTTTAGTGTTTATTTAATTAATAGGGGGTATTATAAGTTTAGTGTTGTATTGGGCCTAATATAATAATGTTTATTGGCTATTATGGTAGTTTTAGTGTTGTTTTTGGCTTTGTGTCTATATTTCTTGTTGTTTTATTCTGTTAGTAGTATATTGAGTTTATTTATAATATACCTATTATTAGGTTATATTATGTATTAAAATACGGTTGGGCTTGTAACGAAGAACAAGTGGTTATTTTATATAATTCCTAGTATTGGTGACAAGCTGGTGTTCTACCAGGGTGAGTATGGCAATAACTTCTAAAGGTTAGAAGTTAGTAGCTGTATGGTTACATCTCTATAAAGGTTTGTTGGCTGAGGGTAATCTAAAGTACTTTATAATCTTAACTAAGCTCTGTTACTGTTAGAACTACTGGCTTATGAAATTCAGATTATAGTGTATGTATTTTCCAGTATAGTTAAATATATTTAGGTTTATATAAACTCAAGTGATTTAATTTGAGTGTATATAATATAGCATTACTGTAAATACCTTAAACCTTTCTTGAAAATATGAATATTAAATCTGGCTTTTATCGGTAAAAGAAATGATTTGTGTGAGTTAGAATCCTCTGGTGAAATATACTAATTTTAGTATTTTATGAATATGGTATTAGGATAGGTGCCTATAACACTGGTTTAGTGGGGGGGGTTTATGTGTTATAAATTAATAGGTGTAAACATTTCTGGTAGTATATATTATGTGATAGGCATCTTCACTGTAATCTATAGCTTAATTTATGCCTGTCTATTTTTATTTAGATATTTGTTCTGCAGGTAATCTGCCCATAATATATACGAGTATATTTCTATGCTGTTAATATATTATATTTTAGTATAAAACTTATAACTTATAGTGTTTTAGGTGTCTCTTATAAATATACTAGTGTAAGTTATAAAGTAAGTATATATTATGGGTTCTAGTTGATTCTTCCTTTTATATTATTGTAGCTTAGTTTAAATTAATTGAGGTGGGGTTTGTTATAGGGCTGTTTTGTTGGTTTGTGCGTATATTAAATATTATGTGCATGTTTTATGCATCTGTCCTGCTTAAGTAAAAATATCTTGGTTAGTATAAATCTAGTATTTATTATGTATTAGTAATGTACCTACTTTATACCTATGTTATAGGGGAGTTCTTGAATATTATATATAAGGGGTTAATAATGGGGGGTATTATATTATATTTAAATATGTTGTGTAGTTGTGATATTTATTTATATTATACAATTAATATATCTACCATTTCATACTGCTAAAATGGTAGGAGACTTACCTGTTTATTCTAAATGGAAATACATCTTTGTACTTATTATTTTAATAGGATATTTTATATACGTAAAATATTTACGAGTAAAGTTTAAACTCGGTACTGAAGGATTACCAATTACATCAAGGAATGCTATTGAAGTATTATTTCATCTAATAGGAAATTACTATAGGCTGGAATATTACAATAAATTTATAATGCATGTAAGATTAAGCCGAAGCAGCTCTAGCCTATTAAGTATACTGAAAATTATTACAGATATAACCCAACCTATTATAAACCTAATAGCATTAATATTATTCTTTTTAGGTTTAATATCTTCACAATATGTAATATTAATAGTACCTTTTAATTTGTCTATTTGGATTATTAGGATGGTAAGAATATCTTTTGAAAATTTTATAGAAAGCAAAATAAAAGCTTTAAAAGAATTACTAGTGTATGATGAACAAGAGCTCGAGCGTGTAGCAAAGGATCAAATTACTAAGGAAATAATTGTAGGGCTAACTAAATCGGCGATTGAAAGCGGCCTAAATTCAACTCATACCCCCCCAATTAGTTGAACAAGCACTAGCTCTTTACAGTATTAAACCTAGAGACACTTTATTAAAATATCAGGATATAATTATATATACAAGAATATTAGCATTCAGCTTTATTTCCTTAATTATAATTCTTTAAAAAACAAAATGAGAAAGAAACTTGTTATAGAATTCTTTAATTTAAAAGAAAATCTACAAATAAAATAATATAGTATAGTATACCCCTTAACTTTTTAAATAAAACTTATATAAAATTTTTATTTATACTATAACAATTGTTACAGTCACTAAAAGAATAACAACCAACTAATAACATAACCATAGAGCAAAACCAACTAAGTAACCTCTACGTACAAAGACATAGATAGAAAAATATACTTGAACAAAACAAAAGCTATCAGATAACAAACTCAGCAAATAACAAACTAAATCAACGAACTATGACAATTAAACCCAACAAGATAATAAACCCCCTACAAATTCAGATTCAACAAAAGAACAGATAGTAATATAACAACATAAACCATAAAAACAAACTTAAGAAAAGTACATCAACAGACAAAACAACCATAAAAACTATCATTTAATTAAATACCATTAGTTTTTATAAATGTATGATATCTTCTATAGTAAACATACAGCTAATAGATTTATACTCTTGTACACACCCCCTTATATAAAAAAAACCCAAATAATTATATAATCAAAATACACACCTAAAAATAGCTAAAATTAAAATATAAGAAATAACATAAAATAAAAAACAAAACACGAATTAAATAGCATTAAAGATCATAAAAGACCACCTAAACATCTACTAAATAATTAGTTTTAAAACATAAATGTACTAACTGTTAATATAACAATTAAAAATACAACGCAATTTATAATATACATAAAAGAACTATAAAATATATAAAAACGAGAATGATGGGACTCGAACCCATGACCTATAGCTAAGAGGGCTATCGCTCTATCCAGTTGAGCTACATTCTCTAAAACAAATATAATATTTGTTTTTATGTTTGTGAATAATCCCCTTGGGGATTATCCCTTATAGTTATTTACTCAGAATTATCTGTAACGATATTTAAATTGTTATCTATACTTTCTTTATGGCTATTTAAATATTCTTCACTGTTATTAATATATTTATAATCTTGCGTATCAAGCCTAATTTTATTTTGTTGAAATCTTAACAGGTGCTGGGGCTTGTTTTCCCCAATAATATTTTTATTCTCGTCTAATAAGAATGACTCGTAACTATAACCTGGCTTACTAGTTGCCTGACTAATAAGAGGCACAGTACCATTCTCATCTGTCCTATTCTCGTCCACTATTAAAAGATGCTTTGGGCATACCCCCAGATCAGAAAGCTGACTTTTATACTTGGGTATCTTATCCCAATCTAATTTTACAGCATGATAATACATTCTTGGGGAACTTACATTAAAAATATTAGAACTAAACCTACGAAACATCCCCCATATCCATCATAATAATACAAATATTCGCCCAAGCCAAGATTTTAAGGGCTATAGCAACATAGCCAACCAACCTAAAATAATTGTCATATAAAGAAATAGAACACTTTCCACTAGCAAACAAAAGCCACTTTTGTTTTAGCTGAGGAATGTCCTCCTCTCTAAACTCTAAGGTAAAAGCAAGAGAAGTCAATTTAAAATTCAACTTCTCAATGTCAATAAGAGCAACTTCCTCCTCTGGAGATGAGCCCAACACATAAACAAACAACAAGTCAGACATCATTTCCAAGTTAGTTAAAACAAACTTTTTAAATGAATATAAAAAACATTTAAAAATCCAAATAACAAACCCCACAGGCACTAATACTGACAAATAACCCAACGAACCCCCAAAATTAATAAAATTAAAAAAACAAACCAAAAAAACAAAAGGAAACAAAGCCAAAATTACCCTAAAAGCATAATAACCCGTCAGACCATGACCCCAAACCAAAGAAGACAGCAACCTAATAAAAAACCTAGAGAAAAACCTACCAGCTAAAAAAATAATCAGATTATAAGCCCCCAAATAAGCAGAAGGAAAAACAAACCCCCTCATACTAAAAAGACCTGGTTTAAAATACCCCAAAATCTTTATCAAACCATATACAACCAAAATAAAAATCACAATAATAACATAATAATAATACTTATTATTATAGTCCGATGAAACTTCAGATATATAAACTGGTTGTATTTTAGATATATAAATTATTCCAATTATATACATCAAAAATTTAACTATAAATAAAATAATAGATAAAATCGGGGCTATCATGTTTTCATATAAGGCTTTTAACTCCATTAAATCTAACCTATTATACATAAATATAAATCTAATAGTAAAATAACTAAATCTAAATTTTGATCCACAACTGAATTAATCACTAACAACCCACACTAGTGTCTCACTAGCTGGAACATACACAAATAAAATATTTTTCATAAAAAAAAATTTTATAATTAAAACAAACTATAATATAAATACTTAAAAAACAAATCTCATTTAAAAAAATGAAATATAAATTATATTGTGTGGCCTAAAAGCAATATTAAGAGATAGGTAATATCTGAGCATGTGTGTGTGCGAAAGATACATCCATAAACTATCATAGTGGTATGCTACGATCAAAAGATCGGGAGCATTGGGCTTAGTAGGAATCGAACCCACGTAGTATCCATCATGAGTGGAACGTTTTACCACTAAACTATAAGCCCAATACCCACTATTGGACTCGAACCAATACTTCATAAACTGAAAACAGATTTTAAGTCTGTCGTGTCTGCCAGTTCCACCAAGCGGGCTATTTTTTGAATAACAACATAACTAATAATTTCCTAACAGGGCAAGATACGACAATCTCTTCAGGATTAGGAAATTCCTACGTTATAGCCTAAATAAATGCTATTATATTAGAAGCTTAAATCTGTTCGACACTAGATCGTAAAGGAATAGTAAAATAAATTAGACTGAATGGGGGTTATTTAACTTTATAAATAAGAGTTTATAGCTCAGTGGTAGAGCAGCGGACTTTTAATCCGTTGGTCGCAGGTTCGAGTCCTGTTAAACTCATTGAGGGTGTGGCTGAGCGGTTTAAAGCAATAGACTGTAAATCTATCCACGAATGTGAGCATGGGTTCGAATCCCATCGCCCTCAAATAGATAATATATTAATAATCTTCCAGATAATATAGCCATTATATATTATATTTTATGCCACAAGTAGATTTATTAACTTTTTTTAATCTTTCTTTTATGTTTTGTGTATTTTTTACAATTAGTTATAACATGATATATTCATATTGTGTTAATATGGAAAAAGTATCATTAGTTAGAGAAGTTTTATCTAATTCTAATAAAAATTAACTAAATTTAAGAACTAATATTAACAAAATATAAGGAGGAAACTCCATTGAGGAATAGCCAAGTGGTAAGGCAATGGATTTTGATTTCATGACGCATGGGTTCGAATCCCATTTTCTCAAACTAAAATTATGCGGGCTTAGCTCAGTTGGTAGAGCACCAGATTGTGATTCTGTTGGTCATGGGTTCGAATCCTATAGTCCGCCATAAACAACCAATATACTATAAACAAATCATAAATGAATCAATTTGTTTCTAAATGGTTGTTCTCTACAAATCATAAGGATATAGGGGTGTTATACCTTATATTTGCATCTTTTGCAGGTATGATAGGTACAGGATTTTCTATTATTATCCGTATGGAATTGGGTGATACGGGTATTCAAATTTTGAATGGTGATCATCAATTGTATAATAACTTAGTGACAGCTCATGCTTTTCTAATGATTTTTTTTATGGTTATGCCAGCATTAATTGGTGGTTTTGGTAATTATATGGTTCCTATTTTAATTGGGGCTCCTGATATGGCTTTCCCTCGTTTAAATAATATTAGTTTTTGGGTATTGCCTCCTTCATTATTATTGTTAATTATATCTACTTTTTTAGAACAAGGGGTTGGTACAGGTTGGACATTATATCCTCCTTTATCTGGAATTCAGGCTCATAGTGGTGGTGCTGTAGACTTGGCTATATTTAGTTTACATTTATCTGGGGTAGGTTCTATTATGGGAGCTATTAATTTTATTACTACTATTTTCAACATGAGAGCTCCAGGATTAGGATTACATAAAATGTCGTTGTTCCCATGGGCTGTTTTAATTACTGCTTTTTTATTATTATTGTCATTGCCAGTATTAGCTGGGGGTATTACAATGTTATTAACAGATAGAAACTTTAATACTACTTTCTTTGAACCAGCAGGGGGAGGGGATCCTGTTCTATACCAGCATTTATTCTGGTTTTTTGGACACCCAGAGGTATATATTTTAATTATTCCTGGATTTGGAATAGTTAGTCATGTAGTTTCTACATTCAGTGGAAAAAATATTTTTGGATATTTAGGGATGGTATATGCTATGTTATCTATTGGATTCTTAGGGTTTATAGTATGGGCTCACCATATGTTTACAGTAGGGATGGATGTTGACACAAGAGCATATTTTACAGCTGCTACTATGATTATTGCAGTTCCTACAGGAATTAAAATATTTAGCTGGCTTGCTACATTATGGGGAGGAAGACTAAGATTCCAAACACCAATGCTATTTGCATTGGGGTTTATTTTTTTATTCACAATAGGGGGACTAACAGGAATAATGTTAGCTAACGGATCACTAGACGTGGCATTACATGACACATACTACGTAGTTGCACACTTCCACTATGTATTATCTATGGGGGCAGTATTTGCGCTATTTGCTGGATTCTATTACTGGTTCTACAAAATAACAGGTTACAGCTATAACGAAACACTAGGTAAAATACATTTCTGGACTATGTTCATTGGAGTTAACATTACATTCTTCCCAATGCACTTTCTAGGATTAGCTGGAATGCCTAGAAGAATACCAGACTATCCAGATGCATATTTCTTCTGGAACCATATTTCATCTGTTGGATCATTCATCTCACTATTTGCTAGCTTCCTATTCTTCTACACAGTATACAGCGCATACGTAAACGAAACACCAGGTAAAACATGGACAGAAAAAAACTACTTCTCTGGATACATACAAAAAATCAAATTACAATTCACATCTATTGAATGGACATTAGAAAGCCCAGCAAGCTTCCACAGCTTTAATCACAATATTCATACTTTAAGTAAAATTTATTCTGGGAGTGTGGAAAACAAAATATGCTAAAAACATTAGTAAATTTTATATTAGATAGTATAAACTATTCATGTTACTCATATATGTCTGACTATGTTCATGAATGGGTTAGAGTAGAATATAACAATACTCATAGTATAACTCCAAAACCTCTAAATCATAATATGGTAGGTCTAAAGTCACAGTACTTTCAATTATTAAATAAAGGAGATGGAATTTTTAGTTATTGCTCTACACAAACTAAAAATGATTTATTAAGAGACTACTCCCAAAACATGAAACGTGTAAATGAAAACAACACACCCATATTCAACCATACCCTACGCCTTCATGGTTATTATGGCTTTACACACACGATGTCTCAAGCACAATGTAACCTAAACAGCATATATGACCTAACAGAGTGGTGTATACATATAGACAACCTGTTAGACACAAAGCTACATAATGAATTAAACAACCTAATAGATACTTATGGAGAACAAGGCGCCCTAGAATATTATAAATTAAATCTAAAAGACCATTACACTAGCCTATGGACTTCACATATCTATAGTGAGATATACACTAAATTAGCTGAAAGAGAAAACAACCGATACCAGCATCTTTTGAACCTAGTCAGTAACTACAACTAAAAACACAAAATAATTAAGTTAACAGCCTTTGGCCAAATTAATATTAATTTTGCTATAATATTTCCATAGTATTTTACAGTAGGGCTAAATACAAGTATTTTACCCTAAGATTTTAGATAAATTAGGCCCTCTAATAAGATACTAACATTAATATTAATTGTATATAACTTAATTATCTACTAGGTTATAAAACCCTGATAATTTTACATAAAGTTACGGAATAATCGTCTATTCTCGGCCAACACTTGATCATGCCGTTCTAGTATGAACCAGATTTGGGTATCACTAATAATTAGTTTCAAGATGTATTAGCCCTCTAAATTTCTATAAATATCTGCAATATAAATTTAACCTAAGTTTTATCTAAAATAAAACTTATTAACTCAGGATATTAATGTTAGTATCTTATTAGAGGGCCTATAAAAAATACTGTATAAAGTACTTGAAAATTAATATCTATGTAGTTAGTTATAGAAAGAGACTGATTATAATCTCCTGCAGATATAAAATAAAAATTAATAGAGAATAGAACCTATATAATAATAAATTATCTCTAATTTATTAGTTATAGCACATACTAGATAAAGCCAGAAACTTACCAATCCTAAGCATGAAAGTAGAAGAATTATAATCTCAAATAAATAGCTACTAACCCAGGAAAATATTTAACAGAATGTTAAAAGTGCTTAAAATTACTGTTAAAAAAACCTTCTCAATTAACAAGAAGAATGAAGAACTATGATAACTTTACAATAAAGGTAAACATAGCCATAAAATTTCCCTGAAAGTAAACTATAAAAAGACCATAAAATCAATTTAAAATCCACTAGCATTTTCAATAGCTAGCAGAGTTTAAACCCAAATAATAAAATAAAAAACACTAGGAAACAAATGGTCTAATATTACAATGCTCAGTGATAGGAGATAAAATAAAAAAAAAAATCTAATACAGCTTTAAACCCAAATAATAAAATAAAAAACACTAGGAAACAAATGGTCTAATATTACAATGCTCAGTGATAGGAGATAAAATAAAAAAAAAAATCTAATACAGCACAATAACAAATATTAAATATAAACAAAGACGATACCATAAAAAAAATCCCTGATAGATTTTTTATTTATTAAATAAAAAACATTTAATAATTTTTTTTTTATCCAGGTCTAGGAAAGAGCAGGTTTTTACCTGCGAATGGGTTCGAATCCCCTTGCCTGGCGCATTTAAAATAAGTACAGAAGCTTAGAGAGAACAGAAAGAAAAAAGAAAAAGTTGAGTCTTAAGAGTTTTAGAGATTAATAATAATTTTTTATTTCTGGGTAGCTATGCAGCATAATTAGGTTATGCCTAATTAGCTACTATTTTTATAAAGATGATATACAATGTCTTACTATTAATTTGTATCCTACGTAAAAATATAAAAATTTATAAAATGATGAATTTAGATATAGCGTATCCTTTACAGTATGGTTTTCAAGATCCTGCTACACCTGTTATGCAAGGTATAATATCATTGCATGATCATATATTTTTTTATCTAATTGTTACAACTGTTTTTGTTACATGGATATTATCTGTTATTATATTTGAGTTTAAAGATGAGTTTTTTTCTCATAAGTATATTAGACATGGTACATTAATTGAGATTATTTGGACTGTGACTCCGGCGTTTATTTTGATTTCGATAGCTTTTCCTTCATTTAGATTGTTATATTTAATGGATGAGGTTATTGATCCGGCTGTTACAATTAAAGTGGTGGGTCATCAATGGTATTGGTCATATGAGTATTCAGATCATGCTTGGTCTATAGAGTTTGATAGTTATATGCTACCAACATCAGATTTAGAATTAGGTCAATTTAGATTACTTGAAGTAGATAATAGAATGGTTGTTCCTATGGACACTCATGTTAGATTAATAATAACATCTTCAGATGTTATTCATTCATGGGCTGTTCCAAGTTTAGGAATTAAGTTAGATGCGATTCCAGGAAGACTAAACCAAACTTCTATGATTATTAACAGAGAAGGAGTATTCTTTGGACAATGTAGTGAAATATGTGGAGTTCAACATGGGTTTATGCCTATCGTTGTGGAATCTGTAAAAATGGATAACTATATTTCTTGGGTTAATAATATGTTAGATGAAGCTTAGTAAAAGATTAAGTGGCTTGTCTCATTTGAGTTCGGCATTGGTTGAATCTTCTCTTCCGGCTAATATTTCTTATTTCTGGAATTTTGGTTCTATTTTAGGTATTTGCTTAGTTATTCAGATAGCATCAGGGGTTGTATTGGCTATGCATTATACTCCTCATGTAGATCTGGCTTTTATTAGTGTTGAGCATATTATGAGGGATGTTAATTTAGGTTGGTTAATTAGATACTCTCATGCTAATGGTGCATCATTCTTTTTTATGTTTGTTTATGTTCATATAGCTCGTGGATTATATTTTGGTTCTTATACTAAACCAAGAGTGTTTGTTTGGTCTATTGGAGTTATAATCTTCCTAATAATGATGGGTACAGCCTTTTTAGGATATGTATTACCTTGGGGACAAATGAGTTTCTGGGCTGCTACAGTTATAACAAACATGTTATCAGCTATCCCTTGGATAGGACAAGATTTTGTTCAATTTGTATGGGGAGGATTCTCTGTAGATAATGCTACATTAAATAGATTTTTTAGTCTTCATTATTTACTTCCTTTCTTATTAGCTGGACTTGTTATAATGCACATATTAGCACTTCATAAGCATGGATCTAATAACCCTATGGGATTTGAATCCCATATGGATAAAACTAGATTACATGACTTATTCACTGTAAAAGATATACATGGATTTATATTATTTTTCTTATTATTTTCATTCTTCGTATTCTTCTATCCTAATGTAATGGGACACCCTGATAACTATATCCCAGCAAACCCATTAGTAACTCCTGCTCATATAGTTCCAGAATGGTATTTCTTACCATTTTATGCTATATTACGTTCTATACCAAGTAAACTAGGAGGAGTAATAGCTATGATAGGGGCTATATTAATACTATTAGCATTACCTTTCTTACATACTGCATGGGTAAGATCTGCTACATTTAGACCAATACATAAATTTTTATTCTGGATATTTGTAGGTAACTTCTTAATCCTAGGATACTTAGGTGGAGCTCCAATGGAAGCACCATATACTATAGTCGGAGTATACTCGACTGTGTTCTACTTTAGCTATTTCTTAATCATAAACCCATTAGTAGGTATATTTGAAAATGTTATGATATTGCTGTTTTCTTTTAGAAAAAGAATTAAATGTTAACGTTTAATCAGTGTGTTAAGTTTAGGGTTAAAAAAAAAAAAAATGAGTCTAAGTCCCCATTGTTGAATAAATGTCCTCAAAGAAAGGGTATTTGTACATCTGTGTTTATAGCACATCCTAAAAAACCTAACTCAGCTAATAGAAAGGTGGCGACTGTTAGATTTACTACTGGTTTTTATGCTACAGCAGCTATTAAAGGTATTGGTCATAACTTACAGGAACATGGTTATGTTCTTATAAGGGGGGGCCGAATAAAAGACCTGCCTGGAGTTAATTATACGCTAGTTAGAGGGAAATTTGATCTTGCACCTGTTTTATCTAGAAAAAGAGGGAGATCTAAATATGGAAGAAGAGTCTTACTAAATGAAAGAAAAAAACAAAAGTATGTTTAAAAAATTCATAGAAAGTCTGCTATTAATAATCATAATCTCCGAAAGTTATACTCTTATTAATAGAATTAAAACAAAACCTATTATAGACTTAACTCAGGGTGATTTAACTATCATGTTCTCAGTACATGTCCCATTAGCTATTATAGTTACTATATGCCTTATACCCATTAGTATACTATACATCACTAAAACTACACATAAAATAAAAAATATTTCCTTTCTACTATTAAATATCTCTATAATAACACTTATAAGTGGGATTATATGGGGACAAGCTATATGGGGTAATTTTTTTATAGTAGATAAAAAAATATTAGATATAATACTTATTATATGCTACTATTACATAATAACATATAATAACAAACTAAACATTATAACAATCATCACAATAACAACACTTTATTATTTTATAAAAATATCAATAGGTGATATAAACTCAATACACCAAAATATAAAAACTAAATCAGAATTCTATAATTCTATCCCAAGCACATACGGAGACATGATCTTAAACAACATAACAATTGCCACAGCCCTTGGCACACTATACCTAATCACTACATAAATACCATAAATACTATGTACGGGTCATACGAGCATTATTTTACCTAGGCTTCTCCAAGGAATGACTTATTCACTACAATTATTAACTCTTTCTATAATTACTTTAAGTCCTTTATTTATAAAACAAAACATTAAAACATTAAGCAGCATCAGTATTTTAGGCCTATTAATAAATTTAATTTTCTATCATGATGAGTTAACAGATTTAAAAAAAGATAATTCAATCATTACGTTTTTTAATTTAATTTTTAATAATTTTGAGAGTATTTATTTATTATACTTTATAATTATAATAATATCTTTTATTGTAAGAACCCATTTAATTCAAGAATTAAATGATATTAATTCTACTAATTATAAAAAAGAGTTATTAATATTATTAATATTTATAATCACATATATAGGTATATTACAACCAATAGAATTATATTTATTTCCTTTAGAATTTGTATCGGAAGAAATAAATCAGCAATTAATAAACCCCATGATGATTTTTCATCCAATAATATTATATATTGCTTATTCATATATATTAGTATTATCATTAAGTTATCTGAGCTTATTAAAAGTAAGTTCAGTAAAAAGATTTTTTTATGAGCATAAGAGGTTTTTATCTCACATTGTTTATTTGTTAGGAACTTCATTGATGTTTAGTATTTTATGGAGCTGGGATATAAATACTTTGTCTTGGACTTGGGACCCTATAGAGGGCCTATTAATGTTTATATTTATATTGAGTGTATTAATTCTTCATTTTTTATATTTTTATCGTAATTTTAATAAGTTTATTAATATAAAAAATATTATATTCATAATATTTTGGATTTCTCCTATAATGTCTCTATTATTAGTTAGGACGGGTGTATTACAGTCCGTTCATAGTTTTTCAGAATCTGAGAATTATATTTTTTTAATATTTGTTTTATTAATGTTTATAATTTATATAATACAAGTATCATTTATGGAGTATAGATCATTTAATACTATAATGGCTAAATCCTTGTTGTTTTCTGTAACTATTCTTTTGTTTCTAATAACTTTAATTTTATTTTTAGTTCATGCATTACACCCCAATATGGTGGGTTTTAAGTTAGAACCTGAAGATTTTGAAAGTATAGTCCTGCTTCCATTATTAATATTTACATGTTTTATAATGCTTATAATACCCCTTTTAATAAATTCTATCAATAATATAAAGTATATATCTTATATAATAATATTATATATTTCTGTATACTATACATATAACCTTTCATATATAGTCTATACATCAGTAAGCACCATTATTATATCAAAGTTATTAAAATCTAAAAACTTTAGAATAATCCATGCTATGATTTTAGGAGGTTTACTATACATCACAATAGCATTATGTATAAAACATGAAGAAGAAATAGCTATAACAGTAGGACAATGTTTAGAATCAGAGGGCTATAAACTAATCCTATATAAATTACAAACATGTAAGCAAGAACCATATATTTACAATATAGCACAAATACTATACTACAATAACAAAAACACAGAAAACATACAACTAATAATACGAAACACAGAGAACATAAACATCAGCAAATCAAGAATATACAACTGCATATTAGGCCACAGCGACCACACAATTAAACTCATCATAAATAAAAACCAACAATTCCTAAACATTAAGCAATACTACACACCACACATTATAACAATCATAACAATCATAACACTATTCAAAACCATCAAAAAACAACATAATAATAATATAAATAAAGAGTTTATAGCTCAGTGGTAGAGCATATGGTCATTGGTTCGATTCCAATTAAACTCCTAGATGTATTAGATTTGGCTTTAGGTCTTATGGTGAGTTTTATTGTCTTATCATTTTGTATCTTTGTTTATTATTTTATATCTGTAGTTGTTTTTTATTGGCTGTTTGTGTGTGTGTTTGGTGTATTATCTGTTTTTAATTTTATGTTTAGTGGCTATGGTAAGTAGGTCTATTAGGGCTGTTTTATTTTTATATGGTTTTTGGTTTGGTTTTTAGGAGAGGGTGGTTGTTATGGTTATATTATCTGGTGTTTAGTGCTGTTAAATGTTATGAGTGTAGATGGTCAGGTATGTATTAACCCTGATTGAAAGTATGTGGTGGGTTTTATATACTACTTTGGTAATAGACTTGGGTTTTTGCATCTTCTGTGGCTAACTAAATTCGGTGGTTTTCTACGTGTTCAAACCTTTCATATGTTAGGGGGGCTATCTATTCCAGTGTTTGTTTCTTCTAGCTTGATGGGTACTATTTTTAGTTTATTATCATGTTCAGATTCGTTTTCATTCCTAGCATTTATTTTTGTAAATAAGTTTACTATTTGTATGGGGTCTGTTATAATATGATAATTATTGGTGTTTAGTGAGTTTTTATGTGTTTTTATTGTTTTATTTGTAGGTATTTATATAAAATTTTTATTGGTCGGTTCTTAATTTGTGTATGTTTTAGGTAGTTGGTGAACACTATGGGTTGTCTTGTTAATGAATAACGAGTATGTTTTTATTTACATAGTTGTATGTTATATTGGCTACTGTTAGCCAATTGTGATTTTTAAATTGTTTGGTGTTTGCTTGTGTTATTAATTATCTTATGTCTATTATTTAATTTTATATGAATGCAGCATTTGTAAATAGTCCTTTGTTGTCTTCTTTTGTGCCTCGTCATTTGAGGTTTCGTGCTAAGTTTATGAGAAAGTCATTTTATTCTAGGCTGGAGTTGTATAGGAAGATTTATGCGTTAAAGAGTGAAGACTTTAGGGTTAGTAATAAAGAATATACTACGGTGTTTAAGCCTAGGCGTATTAAGTATCATTATCAGTATTCTAGGGCTCCGCACCACAACTCTTTGAAGCTTAAATATTTTTATCCTGGTTTACTTCCTCCTAAATTTTCTTTGCATAAAGAGAATGGTTTGAAAAGTTTTTTAGTTTTGGATGCTAAGTTGTCTGTTCCAGCAGTTAATAAAAATTTTTTGTTTTTAAGAACTAAAGCTGTTGATTCATATGGTTCATTGTTGAAGTTAGTGAAAAACTTGATTATTGAGTTTCAACATTTTTTATTTGGTTTTAAAATAAGATCTAAAAAAAAAAATAAGAAGTCTATTAGGGCGATGTTGTATTTTTTTTATTTGAACAAGTATAAAAGAAGGCCAGTATTTTATTCTCGCTATAAAAAAATTTTTAGGAGTTTTTTTTTAAGAAGATTTATAAAGGCTAAGCGTTATAAGTTATTTAAAAATAAATATTTAAAGAGATTAAATTCAGTTAATTTTACGAATATTTATACAGTTTATAATAGGTTATTATCTATTAGAAAAAATTTAATTAATTCTTATTTTACTATTGACAGTGCCCGAGTTTTTGCTCAACTGACTAAGCCTATGTCTGTTTTATATAGGTTAGGTGCTAAATATCATAAGATTAAGCACTTTAATCCAGTTATTAGTAATTATATGTACTTTTTAAAAAAAAATCAATTTACTAATGTAATTAAAAAACGTTGGGTTATAATAACAAATAATTTTAAACGTCCACAGACTATTGACTTAAAGTTTGACTTAAATGAATATTTTACAGAAAGAGAAATAGATTATTGGTTTACTGGAGGAAAAAGAAAAAAAATAGTTAATGGTATTAGAAGGTTAATTCGTCTTATGAAATCTACAGGGAAGCGTAAGTCATTACCAAAAAGATTTAAAAAATATATGAAGCGTCATAGAGTGGTTAAAAGAAAAATATATTTACAGCTTCCTAATAGAGTTGCGAATTATTATGGGTTTTTAGAAAAAAGATTTTTAAATAGGGTTTATAAGATGGATATATCTAAAACTAGGTATAAAAGGTCATATGTCAATATATTTAGTAAATATTTGTTTATTAATAGGTTGGATGCTCAATTGTTTAATATGCATTTATCTGACACTATATACCATAGTAGACAATTAGTAAATAGAAAATTTTTAAATATAAATGATAGGCAAAGCTTTAGAAATGAAGTTTTAAGTGCTGGGGATATACTACAGTTTAATCTTCCTTGGGTTTATAATTTTGTATCGGATTATAAATTTTTTAAATTTTTTAGAAAAGTTAATTTATTAACTAATTTTTCTGCGGTGTATAAGCCCTCATTCTACGGATTAGATGTAATGCCAACAAAAACTGTATTTAACTTATCATTAATAAATGTTGTTAAAAAATTAGGTCGTAGGTATTCTAGAATATTAAGAAGGGTGTCTATGAGCAAGTATAGTGCTATGATTAAGGCTATAATGTTTAATATTAAATGGGCTTTAAAGCTACAAATAATTTCATTAAATTATTTAAGTAAATCATCATATAAGTTATTTAGAAAAGGTCAAGTTTCTGATCAATTATATAGTGAAGTATATAATAAAATGTTTATTTTAACAGAATCAATTTTTAGGTTAAAACCTAAAAATATTATTGGTATGTATAACAATTCATTAAAATTACCAGCTCTTTTAAATTTATTAAATTCGGGAGCTTCAGGCTTAAGGGCTGCTAGAAGATTATTGAGTGGAATTAAGTTTAGAAGGTATAAACGAAGACATCGTTCTAGGACTACACTTAATAAATTGTTATATAATAAAAGAAGAGGCAAAAGAAAAAGAATTTCATATAGATTACGTAGAATTACTACTAAAATAGTATTTCGAGATTTATATGCAAACATTAAAAAATATTTATCTATTGAATCTTTAAAGTCTGTTCGTTATAAATGGGCGCCTAGATATAACCGAAAATTTAAACAAAGATTAATGAGAAGAATTTACCAGCCTTCATTATTCAGTGTACCTACTAATACTTGTAGATTAGTAAATAAATCTATTTACTGGCATCTACTCCGTACTAGAGGATACATTATTAATGGGTGGTTTACTAATATAGTAGCTGAATTCCTATCAGCAATAACAAATTACTGTGAACTAGCTATAAATAAACAAGAAGTAGCTATTTTACCAAATATACTTAAAAACATAGAATTTCAAAAAGGATACATTGAATCTATTAGCAACAAATATCTAAAAGCTAAAGAATATAGAATTGTTAAGATACTAAACTCTATATTAAAATTACGCGTAAGAATCAAAAAACAGCATAGACGCAAATTAAAAGTAAGGCTTAAAAAGAGATACAAAATTCTAAGCCAGAAACAAAATAAGAATATTCTTAAAAAACCCCAAATAGATAAATATTTAACTATTAAAAACTTAAGAATTTATAAAAGTAACAACCCTAAAAACAAAACAAAACAAAATATCAACAGTTTAGCCAATCTTATGCCGCACTTTAAAAAAGATTACAAGGCTTTGTTAGGTCACCGTGTAGATTTGTCTGGGGAGGTCCCTAGCACAATCATTCCTTATAAAGAAGAACTAAATAGAGCGTATAAACCAAATCATGATTAAATATTATTTAAATATTATGTTTAAATACTTGGGACTTTATAATAAAGTAACTGAAGAGACTCAGGCTCATAAAGTTACTAAAATAATACAAATAGATCATACAACTAAAACTATAGAGATAGATCATACAACTAAAAAAAAAATGATAAAAATTTATGAGAAGTTACAGAGGCACATAATTCAAAAAAACAATAAAACATTAGAAGAGACAACAGTATTTGGAGAATTAGGAAACAACCCTGATAATATCTTAAACAAAAGTTGTCAGGATCTTACAAACTATTTAGGCTACCCCAGCTGGGAAGTTGAACTGACAAAAGAAGATAAAGAACTAGCTGAAAGGCTTATTAAAAACGGAACTCATAATTTTAAACTTATATTAAAAGAGTATGATGCAACGATGGACATATCAATGCTCAGAGCATGCTTAAAATACAATAGAGCTGAATTCTTTGAACAGGGCTCAAAACACCTAAACATAACACTTAACAAAATAAATGATCCTATACACTCAAATATTATAAACATGGTAGATATTAACAGATACACTGCATTCATTGCAAAACAAGCAATCAATGACAACCTAAACATTGACCTAATCGTACAAACATACATGAACACAATATCACTCACGTAATAACTAAAAAATCTACTACCAAAACAACTGAATATAAACTAAACAAAACAGCTCCCTGCTTTGTTTAATAGATACCATAAAAAAAATCCCTGATAGATTTTTTATTTATTAAATAAAAAACATTTAATAATTTTTTTTTTTTTTTCAGGTCTAGGAAAGAGCAGGTAAAACCTGTGAATGGGTTCGAGTC